AAATCATCCCCTGTAATCCTGCCATGGAAGGTCCTTGCTCAGGTTCTTCCTGTTATAGGGTGACAACACTCTGTTCCCTGTCTCCTTAATGTGTCCCTATGTTGTCACCCTGTCACATGGGCATCAGTTAGAGACGCAGGCTCAGTCCACTGTTGTCACTATAAAGAAATGAAATAATCCTTGGTGATCCTGCCACTTCCTGTTATAGGGTGACAACACTCTTTCCCTGTCTCCCAAATATGCTCCCCGTGTTGTCACACGGGCTTCAGTTAGCGATGCAGGCTCAATCAACTGTTGTCACTATCAGGATCAAAAAAGATCCTTGATGATCCTGCTACAAAGGCGCTTGCTGCGGCACTTCCTGTTTATAGGGTGACAACACCCTGTCCCTGTCTCCCAAATACGCTCCTACGTTGTCACGATTATAAGTCCATGTGACAGGGTGACAACAGTGGACTGAGCCTGCGTCTCTTATTAGGAAACAGAATAATCCTTGGTGATCCTGCCACAAAGGCCCTTGCTCAGGCACTTCCTGATAGGGTGACAACGCTCTATTCCCTGTCTTTTAATCGTGCCCCTACGTAGTCACTCTGTCACATGCTCCCTTGATTGAGACTTTAACCAACCACCCTGACAGAGATTGCTCCGGCATGGCCACCGACTTCAACTTCCAAAATCAGGACGAGCAGCTGAGGCCAGAGCGTGAGTACATGTAGACAGGAACTGGCTGAAAGAGGCCGGAGGAGATCAGCAGCTCAGAAAATTGGGGGAGGAAACAGGATTTTATGAAAAAAGAAAATGGCAGTTGTTTAGGAGTGCAGGAAGTGAACCAGGAGCCTTGCCATTGGCTCCCGCTTTCCCTTTAAGGGTTCTTACTAATTGGCGGAGGGGGCTTCTTAATCATTATTATTGGCTGTTACATCGGTCACATGATCAGACCGTAAAAACTGGAGCTACCGGTGACAGCTCAGTCATTGCCGTACGCAGTGGAGCCGGCGGGATGGGATAATGTCATCCTATCAGGATTTATATCTTCTGTCTGTGTATTATTACCCCCCCCCCCCCCCCCCAGCTCCTTCCCCGAAAGACAAGCACCATTATGTGAAGTGAGACTACCGCCCCCTGCTGCTGAAAATCTGGAGATCTCCGAGGAGGACCAGGTGGAGGTAAGGCCGCGCTGTAGCGCACCGATAGGATGGGCGTGGGTTGGTCCAGACTAGAGTGACGTAACATGTGACGTAACATGTGACCTCCCTTCCAGGTCTTGTCCCGCGCCAACGATCAGGAGCCGTCCGGTTGGTGGTTGGCTCAGGTCCGGATGATCAAGGGCGATGTGAGTAGGAGCACGCGCTCAGATTGGGGGGCGGGGCGCTCAGATTGGGGGGCGGGGCGCTCAGATTGGGGAGGGGGAGGGGATTAGCGCACGTGTCACCATTCTCTTGCACTCTTCCAGTTTTATGTGATTGAATATTCGGTCTCCAACGCCCCGTACAACGAGATCGTCACCGCCGACCGGCTGCGACCCGTCAACCAGAACCAAGTGGGCCGGACCTTCTTCAAATACTGCCTGCCGGTCCCGGAGGACCTCCGCAAACTGTGAGTGGGAGCACGTGATTGGTCTGGGGGCGGGCACAGCTCATTGGGGGTGGGGCTATACAGCAACCCCACCTTATATATGCTGCCACCCAACCCCCCCTTCATTGCCTCCTTTTGTCTTTCATACATATTAAAGACCCCCCCCCCCCCCCCCCCCCCCCCATCCACCATCAACTTTTTGCTGCCTCCCATAGCCCCCCTAATAAAGTTTTCATTGCCTCCAATGGTCCCTCACGTCCACCCAATTGCTGTAAAGTTTCCGTTGCTCCTCCCCCCCCTATTGACTTTTTATTGCCTCCCAATGCCCCCTCACGTCCTCCCATTGCCTTCCTATAGCATTATAAAACTGCCCCCCCCTCTCCTCTCCCATTAAATTTCTGCTGCTTTCGCCATTGCCCCCAATGACCCTCCACTTCCTTCCAATTGCCTCCTGTTGCCATTTGTGCACTTTAAAGCCCCCCCCCCTTCCCATTGGTTCCTATTGCCCTTCATACACTCTTTTTAAAAGGCTCCCCCCAACTTTTTGTTGTTCCCTCACTGCTCCTCTTCATCATAAAGCTCCCCCCCAAATCAACTCATTGCTGCCTTCCTATGTTCCTCCCATGGCCCCTATCGCTATTACAATTATTTTGTCTAATTTTACTGCCCCCTCGTTACCCTTTTGCTGCCCCCCCCCCCCCCCAATTCCTCCCCATTGCTCTTCATACATTTAAAATTGGATCTTTTTCCTCTTCCCATCAACTTTTTAACTCTCACCCTGCCTCCCTCTGCTATGCAGCCCCCTGCCTTGTAAATGCTGTGCCCCCCCCCCCCCCCCCCCACACACGCACACACTTTATCGCCCTTTATAATTTTATTGGACAAAGATTTTTATTGGGTCTTTCAAAATCCTAGAAAGAGGGTACAGAAGGATCTACACCAAGAAGTGCATGGAAAGTCTTATCCTCGGATACTGTGTTATCAGTCTCCCCCTGCCCCCCTCCTCTGATTGAGAGTGTAAGGGGGGGGATGCCTTTTTTGGGGAACTTCCCCATCCTTCTTGATTTTTGGTCTAGGCCAGAATGATGTGTACAGTGCCATGTCATGTGGCATACTGGGGGGGGGGGGTGGGTGGTGGGGGGGGGACCGGCCCTCTGCTCATAGGTTTTGCAGCCTTCTACCCTGTGGAGTGGCGCATCGCGGGTCCACTGCACAACCTGGAAGAGGTAGCCGCCACCCCCTGATGATGTCAGAGGAAGATGGTGGCGTGGCCTGTACACCATATCTGATGACGGGGCCCTGTAATTCACACCCTCTGTACAGGCGGGCCCTGTTATGTGGTCATATTAAGTGCACTCAGGAGCTGGGCGATGCTGATCAACATGAGGTCTGGCAGCTCGGGTGGGGGAAGGGGGGATTAGGGTCCTTTTTTGGCTATCCTTTTGTTGTGTAAAATACATTTACCTCACTTAGCTGCTGGCCTGGTCAGTAACAGGAATATTCTGTGTGTGTGTATATATGTGTGTGTGTATATATGTATGTGTGTATGTATGTGTGTATGTATATATATATATGTGTGTGTGTGTGTGTATTTTTTGGCATGATCAGTCATATTTTCAATATCAATGCCAACATTTCACAATTTCTGGCGGGGTATGTAAACGTTTGAGCACAACTGTGTGTGTATATTATTCATTACAATATCCTACAGGGTGTAATTGACATCCAAGAGAACCAACACTACTGGAGCATGCACTGCTAGAAATACATACAAATAATATATCAAAAAGAAATTCAATTCACATTATTAAACAATGACGACAAGGGGAATGTATGACTGTATTTTTATATATACACCCACGTACGCCTACTATATTGCCCCAAGTATTGGGCCACCTGCCTTTCCACACACATGACCTTTAATGGCCCCCCAGTCTTAGTCCTTTAGGGTTCAATATTGAGTTGGCCCCGCCCTTTCCACACACATGACCTTTAATGGCCCCCCAGTCTTAGTCCTTTAGGGTTCAATATTGAGTTGGCCCCACCCTTTCCACACACATGACCTTTAATGGCCCCCCAGTCTTAGTCCTTTAGGGTTCAATATTGAGTTGGCCCCGCCCTTTCCACACACATGACCTTTAATGGCCCCCCAGTCTTGGTCCGTAGGGGTCAATATTGAGTTGGCCCCGCCCTTTCCACACACATGACCTTTAATGGCCCCCCAGTCTTAGTCCGTAGGGTTCAATATTGAGTTGGCCCCGCCCTTTCCACACACATGACCTTTAATGACCCCCCCAGTCTTGGTCCGTAGGGTTCAATATTGAGTTGGCCCCGCCCTTTCCACACACATGACCTTTAATGGCCCCCCAGTCTTAGTCCGTAGGGTTCAATATTGAGTTGGCCCCGCCCTTTGCAGCTATAACAGCTTCAGCTCTTCTGGGAAGGCCGTCCACAAGGTTTAGGAGGGTGTCTATGGGAAGGTTGGACCATTCTTCCAGAAGCACATTTGTCAGGTCAGGCACTGATGTCGGGGGAGGAGGCCTGGCTCACAGTCTCCGCTCTAATTCATCCCAAAGGTGTTCTATGGGGTTGAGGTCAGGACTCTGTGCAGGACAGTCAAGTTCCTCCACCCCAAACTGGCTCCTCCATGTCTTTATGGACCTTGCTTTGTGCACTGGTGGGCAGTCATGTTGGAACAGGAAGGGGCCATCCCCAAACTCTTCCCACAAAGTTGGGAGCATGGAATTGTCCAAAATGTTGCCTTAAGTGTTCCCTTCACTGGAACTAGGGGGCCAAGCCCAACCCCTGAAAAGCAACCCCACACCATAATCCCCCCACCCCCCCCACCAAACTTGGCACAGTGCAGTCAGGCAAGTACCGGTTTCCTGGCAACCACCAAACCCAGACACATCCATCGGATTGCCAGACAGAGAAGCGTGATTGGTCACTCCAGAGAACACATCTCCATGCTCTAGAGTCCAGTGGCAGCATGCTTTACACCACGGCATCCAACGCTTTGCATTGCACTTGGTGATGGAAGGCTTGGATGCAGTTGCTTGGCCATGGAAACCCATTCCATGAAGCTCTCTACGCACTGTTGTTGGGCTCATCTGAAGGCCACACCAAGTTTGGAGGTCTTTATCTATTGACTCTGCAGACAGTTGGCGACTTCTGCGCACTGTGCGCTTCAGCATGCGCTGACCCCGCCCTGTCATGTGACGTGGCCTACCACTTGGTGGCTGTTGTTCCCAGTTGCTTCCACTTTGTTATAATCCCACTAACAGTTGAGCGTGGAATATTTAGTAGCCAGGAAATGTCACGGATGGACTTATTGCCCAGGTGGCCACCTATCACCTATCCGATGATGACGGCTCGGTCATGTGATCAGCTGTGTCCAATCACAGCTGATCGCATGTAAACAGGGAAATGCCGGTTATCTGCATTCCTCTCCTCATGAGTTGTCACGCTGACAGAGGAGAGGAGAGCCGGTGATTGGCATTCCTCGGAGGGGACATCTACACTGATCATTAAGGCACTGATGAACCGTGTGCCCTGATGATCTGTGTAGCCCCATCAATGCCACCTGCCAGTGCCCATCAGTGCCAACTATCGGTGCTGCTTATCAGTACCACCTATCAGTGCCATATAGGAGTGCTGCCTTTCAGTGCCCATCAGTGATGCCTGTCAATGCCCTTCAGTCCCACCTACCAGTGCCTCCTCATCAGTGCCACCTATCAGTGTCCATCAGTGCAGCCTATCCGTGCCCATCACTGCAGCGCACATCAGTGAAGGAGAAAAACTTATTTACAAAATTTTATAACAAAAACTTAAGAAAAAACTTTTTTTTAAAAAAAATTTTCAGTGGTTTTTGGTTTAAGGAAAAATGAAAAAACCCCGAGGTGATTAAATACCAGCAAAAGAAAGCTCTATCTGTCACAAAAAAATGATACAAATTTCATATGGGTACAATGTTGTATGACCGCGCAATTGTCATTCAAAGTGTGACAGTGCTGAAAGCTGAAAATTGGTCTGGACAGGAAGGGGGTAGAAGTGTCCTGTAGGCAGGAAGGGGGTAGAAGTGTCCTGTAGGCAGGAAGGGGGTAGAAGCGTCCTGTAGGCAGGAAGGGTGTAGAAGTGCCCGGTAGGCAGGAAGGGGGTAGAAGTGCCCAGTAGGCAGGAAGGGGGTAGAAGTGCCCAGTAGGCAGGAAGGGGGTAGAAGTGCCCAGTAGGCGGGAAGGGGGTAGAAGTGCCCAGTAGGCGGGAAGGGGGTAGAAGTGCCCGGTAGGCGGGAAGGGGGTAGAAGTGCCCGGTAGGCGGGAAGGGGGTAGAAGTGCCCAGTAGGCGGGAAGGGGGTAGAAGTGCCCAGTAGGCGGGAAGGGGGTAGAAGTGCCCTGTAGGCGGGAAGGGGGTAGAAGTGCCCTGTAGGCGGGAAGGGGGTAGAAGTGCCCTGTAGGCGGGAAGGGGGTAGAAGTGCCCTGTAGGCGGGAAGGGGGTAGAAGTGCCCGGTAGGCGGGAAGGGGGTAGAAGTGCCCGGTAGGCGGGAAGGGGGTAGAAGTGCCCGGTAGGCGGGAAGGGGGTAGAAGTGCCCGGTAGGCGGGAAGGGGGTAGAAGTGCCCGGTAGGCGGGAAGGGGGTAGAAGTGCCCGGTAGGCGGGAAGGGGGTAGAAGTGCCCGGTAGGCGGGAAGGGGGTAGAAGTGCCCTGTAGGCGGGAAGGGGGTAGAAGTGCCCGGTGGGCGGGAAGGGGGTAGAAGTGCCCGGTGGGCGGGAAGGGGGTAGAAGTGCCCGGTGGGCGGGAAGGGGGTAGAAGTGCCCGGTGGGCGGGAAGGGGGTAGAAGTGCCCGGTGGGCGGGAAGGGGGTAGAAGTGCCCGGTGGGCGGGAAGGGGGTAGAAGTGCCCGGTGGGCGGGAAGGGGGTAGAAGTGCCCGGTGGGCGGGAAGGGGGTAGAAGTGCCCGGTGGGCGGGAAGGGGGTAGAAGGGCCCGGTAGGCGGGAAGGGGGTAGAAGCGCCCTTTAGGCGGGAAGGGGGTAGAAGCGCCCTGTGGGCGGGAAGGGGGTAGAAGCGCCCTGTGGGCGGGAAGGGGGTAGAAGGGCCCTGTGGGCGGGAAGGGGGTAGAAGGGCCCTGTGGGCGGGAAGGGGGTAGAAGGGCCCTGTGGGCGGGAAGGGGGTAGAAGGGCCCTGTAGGCGGGAAGGGGGGTAGAAGGGCCCTGTAGGCGGGAAGGGGGTAGAAGGGCCCTGTAGGCGGGAAGGGGGTAGAAGGGCCCGGTGGGCGGGAAGGGGGTAGAAGGGCCCGGTGGGCGGGAAGGGGGTAGAAGCGCCCGGCGGGCAGGTAAAAGCATGGAATATTTCCTGAATAACAAGTTTAATTCTAATTTTATATTTTATTTTCCTTATACCTGTATTTAGTTCTAGGTTGAGAGCGCTGTTTTTGTGAGATTTCACATAATTTTATTATATTTTTTTTTTATGTTGCTACACTCTTTTTATGTGCCATCCTCCTTCCCTTTTTTCTTTCATTCTTTATCTATAAGGTTTTATCTTTCCATCGTTTAGTGTTTAGGTCTGACAGAGCCAATGACAGTGAGAAGTAGAACAAGAAATAGTTTGGGGTCCCGGAGGTATTCTCATAGAAGGACAGTAACAGAGGAGGTCCCAGGGCCCTTGGTAACAGGCATTCTTATGTAGATAGAAATCTCATGTCAATGGCTCCCACCAATGAGGAGAGAGAGACCAAAGAGAGCCATGGCTCTCATGCACATTGCTGGATCGGGCTCAGGGAAGTATGAGGGGGGGGGGCTGTACCTAGAAGGTGTTTTTTATCTTCATGGATAGAATACATGATTGTACAAAACCTTCTGTCTGGAGGACCGCTTTTATAGATTTGCTTGGCCATTTGCACAGTGAAGGGGCGTGTACATTCTATGCAAATGAGGGAAAAGAATGAATGTCAGCAGTGGGCTTTCTCTGCCGTTCATTGAAGGACACGGCTTTACTTCATGACAGATGGGTGTAGTGTCGCCACCTTCAGGAGAAGTACACTAGGTGCACCGAAACTGAAAGCTGCCCTCTGATGGTGGCCAACGGTTATCCATTCAGGGTCACTGGTCTCGAGGAGACTAGACTCCCCATTGACATTCTGGAACTTCGGCAATCCATCGCTCTCTCCCATTGGACAGCCCTGCGCAGGGTTCCCCAATCAGGGTGCAATTGGACAACACCATGGAGGTCGTCTACATCAATCACCAGAGAGACCCCAGGAGCACGCAGGGCCACCTTGCACAAAGGGTCCATGGACTGTGAGGACGCTGATCAGTGTGCTTGTAGTCCATTGAGAACTACAAACCTTCTCCTGTGGTGGCAGACAGGATTTGTTTTTTTTTTTTTTATTATTTCACAGCTCCGCCCACACAGCCACACCAAAAAAAAATTTTTTTTTGTATTTTTATTAAGATTTTAGAATTTGACAGAGACCTAAAAAGTATCACAATGAAAGACAAGATGGCCGCACTGTGGTGTTTTTTTTTTTTTTTTTTTTTTTGCAGGGGAGAGGAACCCCCAACTGCTGTCACAGAGGGGACACAGGGTGAGGGGGTTTGGCAATATGGGTGTAACATGTTCCTAAAGGTGAACTTAGCCTTTAAATGGAAAATACTACATTTGGCCATTAGATGGTGACTCTAATCATCCTTGATTTTTAATTGGAAAGTACTGCATTTGGCCAGTAGATGGTGCTAAATATAGATTTTCAATTGGAAAATACTGCATTTGGCCAGTAGATGGCGACACCTATTGATTTAGAATTGGAAAATGATGTATATAGATGAATAATAAGGGATCCTCCTGCGCTCATGGAAATAATTGACAAAATACAGCTGCTGTCACTTAGCTGATACCAATAAGTGCAAAATAAAATTAAAAATTAGTGTGAAGCGCTTGTATCACATGAATACAATCATGTATCTCCATATAGTGTAATTATAAATAAAGTGACCACTATATATAATAAATGTGTGTTGACTCCCTCTAGTGGAAAGAAAAAATAGTGTCAACCAAAATAGCTAAATAACACACATTAGGAAACTAAATATATAGTGCATAAATCAAATATAATAAACAAAATATATATACGTGAAAACAGAATATTGGCCACATACAATGGTGTCTAAATCATACATAAATGATATATGCCACAAGTGAACAAGACAATATCAAAGGTGAAAAAAATATTCCATGCATGTGACTGTGCTTTAAGCTGGAACACACACGTGATCTCCACTTCTAAGTGCAAGTACTCTCCTTCAAATGGCAGCAATGCCTGCTCACCTCCCTTCCTCGACCCACACAGGGCCTCAAAGCAGTTACCACCTCAGTGGTGTATTCCTCTGGCAGACTCCTTATTCCTCCTCCTCTCTTATGCAACTCATAAAAGACAAGAAAGCCTTCCATAGTGTAGTAAATTTAATAGGCAAAGTTAAAAATTACAAAGTTTTCCACTCACATGCTCCTTTCCATAAAAAAGCGTTTTTCCCAGCCTGTGGGTAGATATGCATGCACCTGGGGGAATCCAATATGGCCACTGTGTCCGGACATACGTCACCAGGAAGTAGACAAACCGACGCGTAGCGTCACGTGCGTCGTGACTTCATCAGGGTGAATATACTACACTATGGAAGGCTTTCTTGTCTTTTTATGAGTTGCATAAGAGAGGAGGAGGATTAAGGAGTCTGCCAGAGGAATACACCACTGAGGTGGTAACTGCTTTGAGGCCCTGTGTGGGTCGAGGAAGGGAGGTGAGCAGGCATTGCTGCCATTTGAAGGAGAGTACTTGCACTTAGAAGTGGAGATCACGTGTGTGTTCCAGCTTAAAGCACAGTCACATGCATGGAATATTTTTTTCACCTTTGATATTGTCTTGTTCACTTGTGGCATATATCATTTATGTATGATTTAGACACCATTGTATGTGGCCAATATTCTGTTTTCACGTATATATATTTTGTTTATTATATTTGATTTATGCACTATATATTTAGTTTCCTAATGTGTGTTATTTAGCTATTTTGGTTGACACTATTTTTTCTTTCCACTAGAGGGAGTCAACACACATTTATTACATATAGTGGTCACTTTGATTTATAATTACACTATATGGAGATACATGATTGTATTCATGAGATACAAGCGCTTCACTAATTTTTAATTTTATTTTGCATGTATATAGATGAAGCCACATATTGTTGATTTTTAACGAAAATACCGCATTTGGCCAGTAGATGGCGTTACAAATCATCAATTTTTAAAAATTGGAAATACTGCATTTGGCTGCATGTTAGAAATGTTTTGTTTTTGTTTTTTTAAATGGAAAATATTGCGTTTGGTCAGTAGATGGCGCTGCATACATCTGAAATTCATACAATACATGACTCCATCTAGTGGGCAAATGCAGTATTTTGTTTTACAATCGATGAGTTGCGTTCGATCTGCAGCGGATCTGGCCTATTGTCATTGGATTTATCTGCATGCACTTCTAGTGGGCGAATGTCAGTGAAGTGAATTCAATGATGTCTCTCCATATAATATCTGTATTTGGGGTCAGTGGGAGGGTCACCCCTGCTGATCAGAAAATAATAAACATGTTTTTGCATTTTGTTGTTTATTCCCCCCCCCTTCTTTTTTTTTTTCTTGTAGTTCGACCAATGTGGAAGTCCACAAGGAGTTTAAGAGGGTGGTGGGGGCCAACTGTGTATTCATGGACAAAGCCGGAACTGAACTTGTTGTACTGGTGAGACTGGATCCGGGGAAGGGAGGTGGGGGAGGGTCAGGTTGGATCGGGGGTGGGGGGGGGGGGGGTCACACTGAGGGGCCTGACAGGGCTTGTGGCTAGCCTTTTATTTTCAGTTGTGGTTGGATCCGGGGAAGGGAGGTGGGGGGGGGGGGGTCAGGTTGGATCTGGGGAAGGGGGGGGGGTCAGGTTGGATCAGGGGGTGGGGGGGGGGGGGGTCACACTGAGGGGCCTGACAGGGCTTGTGGCTAACCTTTTATTTTCAGTCCACAGATGAGGCGGTCATCCAGCGGTCCTCTCTACTCTGCGACATCCACCTCCGTGCACTACGAACCAAACTCCGCCTCATCACCCACAACGAGGAGGCAGTGAAGCAGCTGGAGGTGAGGGGGAGGGGAGGTCTGTCCTCCTCCTGCGGGGTGACACCTATAGAAGGGGCTACGATTTTGTCCTCCTCTTGCAGGGTGACACATATAGAAGGAGCTATGAGTCTGTCCTCCTCCTGCAGGGTGACACATATAGAAGGAGCTATGAGTCTGTCCTCCTCCTGCAGGGTGACACATATAGAAGGAGCTATGAGTCTGTCCTCCTCCTGCAGGGTGACACATATAGAAGGAGCTATGAGTCTGTCGTCCTCCTGCAGGGTGACACCTATAGGAGGAGCTAAGAGTCTGTCCTCCTCCTGCAGGGTGATGCCTATAGGAGGAGCTAAGAGTCTGTCCTTCTCCTGCAGGGTGACACATAGAAAGGGCTACGAGTCTGTCCTCCTCCTGCAGCAGGGTGACAAATATAGAAGGGGATATGAGTCTGTCCTCCTCCTGCAGGGTGACACATATAGAAGGAGATATGAGTCTGTCCTCCTCCTGCAGGGTGACGCCTATAGGAGGAGCTACGAGTCTGTCCTCTCTGCAGGGTGACGCCTATAGGAGGAGCTACGAGTCTGTCCTCCTCCTGCAGGGTGATGCCTATAGGAGGAGCTAAGAGTCTGTCTTTCTCCTGCAGGGTGACACATAGAAGGGGCTACGAGTCTCTCCTCCTGCAGGGTGACAAATATAGAAGGGGATATGAGTCTGTCCTCCTCCTGCAGGGTGACACCTATAGAAGGGGCTACGAGTCTGTCCTCCTCCTGCAGGGTGACACCTATAGAAGGGGGTACAAGTCGGGTAACACAATTCTGATGTCATTACAGCTCAGTAAACAGATTGCCGTGGCGTATCGGGAGGCGTTCACAGTCCGGGAAGATCTGATTGGTCTGGCTATCGGGGCACACGGGGTGAACATCCAGCAGGCTCGGAAAGTTCCCGGAGTGACGGCCGTTGACCTGGACGAGGAGACGTTTACATTCAGGATATATGGAGAGGTGATGTAGTGTGGTCATTGGTGGAGTCCATCCTCCATGGTGGCAGTGAAATAATAGTCTGCGGTTTGTCTCTCTCTGCAGTCGGAGGAGGCGGTACGGAAGGCTCGGGGTATCTGGAGTTTTCAGAGGCCTCAATGGACGTCCCGAAGGGCTTTGTGGGTAAGTAGTGTTGTGTCCGATGTATTCAAGTGTTCCCCTTCTTATCCATTGAGGAACTTAGGGAGTCATACAGGGGCATGGAAATTTTTGAAAAAAACTACTTGTCTGGGGACTAAATCGGGGTCCCAATCTACTTGTCTTGATTTAAAAAAAACAAAACAAAACCGTATTTAAATCTGAGGGGCTTTTAAAAAAAAAAAACAAACAAAAAAAAAAAAAGTTTCAATATTTTTACCATTGCGCTGTAAATCTCCTCCTCCTCCCTTCCCACCTGTCTCCAGCACTGCCCCCAGGGACTAGCAGGGAGGGGAGAGACCTTGCAATGTAATCAGTACCGATTGGGTGCTGGTCAGGAAAGGGGGGTGTCTAGCCTATGTTGTATCCCTTTCGCTGAGTTGTTTTGTTTTGTGTTTTTCGCACTCATTTAAAAAAAAAATAAAAAATGTTAGGCCTGAAGATTACATAAAACCCCCGTACATATTTTCTGAAAACAGACACCCTAGAGCATAAAATAGCGGTAGTTATAATTTATGTCACACGATAATACCACAAAGAAAAATACACTTAATTTTAGGGCACAAAACAGCAATAAATTACCTATTTTTTTGGGTAAATTTATAAATGATGAGGTTGCAGCGAGTAAATGGATATAAAGATGAGGTTGCAGCAAGTAAATGGATATAAAGATGAAGTTGCAGCAAGTAAATGGATATAAAGATGAGGTTGCAGCGAGTAAATGGATATAAAGATGAGGTTGCAGCAAGTAAATGGATATAAAGATGAGGTTGCAGCAAGTAAATGGATATAAAGATGAGGTTGCAGCGAGTAAATGGATATAAAGATGAGGTTGCAGCGAGTAAATGGATATAAAGATGAGGTTGCAGCGAGTAAATGGATATAAAGATGAGGTCGCAGCGAGTAAATGGATATAAAGATGAGGTCGCAGCGAGTAAATGGATATAAAAATGAGGTCGCAGCGAGTAAATGGATGTAAAACATGAGGTCGCAGCGAGTAAATGGATGTAAAACATGAGGTCGCAGCGAGTAAATGGATGTAAAACATGAGGTCGCAGCGAGTAAATGGATGTAAAACATGAGGTCGCAGCGAGTAAATGGATGTAAAACATGAGGTCGCAGCGAGGTCGCAGCAGTAAATGGATGTAAAACATGAGGTCGCAGCGAGTAAATGGATGTAAAACATGAGGTCGCAGCGAGTAAATGGATGTAAAACATGAGGTCGCAGCGAGTAAATGGATGTAAAACATGAGGTCGCAGCGAGTAAATGGATGTAAAACATGAGGTCGCAGCGAGTAAATGGATGTAAAACATGAGGTCGCAGCGAGTAAATGGATGTAAAACATGAGGTCGCAGCGAGTAAATGGATGTAAAACATGAGGTCGCAGCGAGTAAATGGATGTAAAAGATGAGGTTGCAGCGAGTAAATAGATATCCAACATCTCAAACTTTACATTTGCGTGCCCTCGTGAAATGGCGACTAACTTTTTTTCTATAGGTAACCCTTTTAAAAAGGTCCCCTATGTGATGAGTTATGGTGACAGGTTCTCTTTATTGAGACATTTAGGGTGTAAAAGACCCCTGCGTGTCTCCCCTGTACTACACTGGATGTATTGCACTGCATCACATTCTTTCCCGGCCTCAATGGCTGGGAAATCTGTCAACGGGGGGGGCCTGGAAGTGATGTCATAATGTCACTTCCGGGTCAGGACAAGAAGAGTAGGGGAGCAGACGTGTCCTCTCTCCCCCCCCTCCCCCTCTACATACTGGGAGATGTAGCGGGCAGAAGGGAGGTACATGGGGAGGTGGGGGGGGGGGGCCCTTGAGGCTGGCACTTTAGTGGGCTGTGTGGAAGCAATCGGCGGCAGTGCTGCCTCCTGAATACTTTCACCTGACAGGTGAGCCCTGCTGCTTCCCTGCCGTACAGTAGAAAAACTACCTTCCTGGCGCCTGGAACTACATGTCCCAGGCTTCGGGCGATACAAATTAAACATCCCTGTCCTACTGATGGGTTATACTGCCGCCTGCAGAAGGTGTGGACAGTAACAAACAAGACCAGGCTTACCTCTCCTCTACCCTGCATGCCTCAGTTCTTTTTCTGCTGGTGTCCCTGGAGGATGGAGGTCTCTTCTTCAGATCTGCTGCCATCTAGGTTGGCCTCCTCAGCTTGACTATGGACTATCCAGGCCACTCTGGACTGGACATTGCAGGATGAGCCTGGAGGTGACCTCGGGACCTGCTGTGTTCTGCGTAAAGGTTCCTGTCAGACCCGTCTGGGCACATGTTAGAGCCGTTTTCAGGTCCAGAGCCATGGCATTGTCCCGGTGCTGCCCTTGTCTTTGAAGACTCCCTTTAGCAGTATGTTGAGCACCAGGAGCTACATTGGCAATTTCACCGCTGGGTGGCCTTTAAAGTGCCCCCTACGGCCGCTTTTACTTTAAAAGGTGTTAAAGCTGCAGCATCGGAAGATTATGGTGGTGGTGGTGGTGGTGGTGGTGGGGTGGTGGTGGTGGTTGGGTGGTTTGGACAAGATCTGTCTCCTGCTATTGCCCCTGCTCCTGTTTTACAGAACCACCTGGAATTCCCATCCTCAGCCCTTTTGTGCTGAGCACCAGGAGCTACCTCAGTAATTTTTTTAATTTTTTTTTTCCCCTCCCAATACTGCCGGGTTTTACTGCAAACGGTGTTAACATTGAGGAGAATGCTGACTACAACCGCTGGGTGGAGTGTCAGGCGTGCTGCTTGCTATTTGCTGTCTTTCAGAGTAGAGAAATGACAACCGGCCTGCAGTGACTTGGTCACACCCATGACCGTTGGGCCCTACTGCCGGCCTGCAGCGGTTCGGTCACCCCTGACCGTCGGACCCTAATGCCGGCCTGCAGCGGCTTGGTCACCCCTGACCATCGGACCCTACTGCCGGCCTGCGGCGACTTGGTCGCCCCCCTGACCGTCGGACCCTACTGCCGGCCTGCAGCAACTTGGTTGCCCCTGACCGTCGGACCCTACTGCCGGCCTGCAGCGATTTGGTTGCCCCTGACTGTCGGACCCTACTGCCGGCCTGCAGCGACTTGGTTGCCCCTGACCGTCGGACCCTACTGCCGGCCTTCAGCAACTTGGTTGCACCTGACCGTCGGACCCTACTGCCGGCCTTCAGTGACTTGGTCTCCTCTGATCGTCGGACCCTACTGCCGGCCTGCAGCGGCTTGGTCACTCCTGACCATCAGACCCTACTGCCGGCCTGCAGTGACTTGGTCACCCCTGACCGTCGGACCCTACTGCCGGCCTTCAGTGACTTGGTCGCCCCCCTGACCGTCTGACCTTACTGCCAGCCTACAGCGGCTTGGTCGCCCCTGACCGTCTGACCCTACTGCCTGCCTACAGCGGCTTGGTCGCCCCTGACCATCAGACCCTACTGCCGGCCTGCAGTGACTTGGTCGCACCTGACAATTGGACTCTACTGCCGGCCTGCAGTGACTTGGTCGCACCTGACAATTGGACTCTACTGCCGGCCTGCAGCGACTTGGTCGCACCTGACAATTGGACCCTACTGCCGGCCTGCAGCGACTTGGTCGCACCTGACAATTGGACCCTACTGCCGGTCTGCAGCGGCTTGGTCACCCCTGACAATTGGACCCTACTGCCAGCTTACAGTGACTTGGTCACCCCTGACCGTCTGACCCTACTGCCGGCCTACAGCGGCTTGGTCACCCCTGACCGTCTGACCCTACTGCCGGCCTACAGCGGCTTGGTCACCCCTGACAATTGGACCCTACTGCCAGCTTACAGTGACTTGGTCACCCCTGACCGTCGGACCCTACTGCCGGCCTGCAGCGGTTTGGTCGCCCCTGACCTTCGGACCCTACTGCCGGCCTGCAGCGGTTTGGTCGCCCCCTGACCGTCGGACCCTACTGCCGGCCTGCAGCGGTTTGGTCGCCCCTGACCGTCGGACCCTACTGCCGGCCTGCAGCGGTTTGGTCGCCCCTGACCGTCGGACCCTACTGCCGGCCTGCAGCGGTTTGGTCGCCCCTGACCGTCGGACCCTACTGCCGGCCTGCAGCGGTTTGGTCGCCCCTGACCGTCAGACCCTGCTGCCGACCTACAGTGATTTGGTCGCCTCCGGCCGTCCAACCCTACTGCTGGCCTTCAGTGACCTACAGTTAGGTAATGTTGATATCTAAGTGCTGCCTCGTACCCTGAGCTATGTTGTTTTACTGTCATGCGGATGCAATTGATTCTATACATGGTCCCAATGTACTGGATTCTCCCACTCCTCTAACAGCTGTGGTGCCACTTGCAGTGGACCTACTTTTTGCAGCCTGTAATCCTCATGTCTCTTCTGCTGAAGCCTATGTCCTCTTCACTTACTCCTTTTTTGGACTTGGCTGCCTCCCCCGCTCAGCATAGAGAGGCTTTTACATCCATTATGCATGACATTTTAGGCCAAGTAGCTTAGATGTCTAGTATCTGACTGCAGGGGCCACGACGCCCTCGCAGATCCTGTATCTGATCCACCTGAAGCTTTAGCACCCTCTGTGCCATCAGCCACTGAGACTGTCCAATGCTGAGTGTCTTCAGTCCTTACTATAAAGGAGTCTGTCTTCTACCATCACCCCTAAACAAAGCTCTTATTGATGTGGCATGCACCAGCTTCAAGCTGAAGGGCCAGCCTGATGCTCCTACCAGTTCGGTTTCCCAGTCTAGGATCCTTTTGAGTGCTCTTAAGACTGCAAAGACCTTTCTGGTGCACCTAATGATGTTCTCAGCCTTCCTCTACAGAAACTGGAAACATCTTCCCGAATGACTATCAGCCCTGTGTTCATTTCAGGGAGACTTTGTTAGAAAAGTGTTTTGCCCCCATTGTGGATCTGACAGTGTTGCGTCTTCATAAACTGTCCACTATTCCAATGGAGGATGCTTCCATGTACAAGGTTCCCACTCATGAGGACTGCAGACCCTTTCCAGAGCCTTGTTCTCTCTAACAGGTCCTGTCCTGCAAACTGTGCTGTGACCTTCGTCTCGCAAACCATGGCTGACTGATCGAAAGACTTTTAATAGGAATCTGATCACAATAGCCATTGATCCATTGGTCAGTGAACATTGAGAACAAATGTGAGTTGCTCTGAGATACAATTTGGATGGGTTGTTGGGGGTTTCCCATCTCCTATCCTGGTAGGACCAATCACTGTTCATTGATGATCATTTTCCCCCGGCTGTCCGGTTGGTGTTGGTTGGTGTCTGGTTGGTGTTGGTTGGTGTCCAGTTGGTGTTGGTTGGTGTCCAGTTGGTGTTTGTTTGCAGGTCCATCCACAGCTTAAATTTTGGCAATTCGGCAAGAATCACCCAACATTGAGGTGTCTATGGACTGCATTACCTGTAAATAAGGTGTGTCTCTTGTTGCCTTCTGTGTCTGAGCTGGAGGTCCTGTCCTATAAAGAAACCTTTCTGGTCATGCATAGGACAAAGTGGTGTTAATGTGTAGGACTTCCTTTCCACCAAAGGTAATTTTGGAATTTACCTCAACAAGGACATTGGTTTTTCTCCACCTGAGATCCAGTGATCACAAGGAGATTTCCCTCCATTATTAGGATGTAGTGAGGGCTATGAGTTCATCTTGCAGCAACTTCTTCCTTCATAGAGGCGACTGATTCGTTCTTGATGGTCCCCTTCTTGGTGAACCAGCTTCTTCACCATTACTTTATGGCTCAGGCAGACCATCATTCAGGCGTATGGTCTTCAGAATCAGATTCCACCCTCTCCTGTCGACTCTACTGGATCTGATGGCGCTTGTAAGACTTTACATCATCAGGTTACTTTTTTTTTTTTTTTTTTTTTTTTAACTTTTAAGGCTGCTACTTGGTCCTCTGTTCACACTTTCTTCGAGTTCTGCCAGATGGATGTTCAGGCCTCTTCTTTGGGTGTAACATCCTTCAGGGGGCTCTTCAAGCTGCAGGCCATCCTCTATTCTAATGTTTTTGTGATCCGTTTAGTGTTTTGTCGTGTTCCTCACCCCTTAGATGGATTGCTTTTGGATGTGTTGAAATTTTAGGACTTCCTGAGTTCCTCAGAAGATGATGAAATAGGATATTTGTACTTATAAAATCCTTTTTGGGGTCCATTGAGGAACATCTGTCCCACTGTTCTGTGTTGGTACTGCTTTACCACAAAGCATGCTTGGGAGTAAGAGGGGCTGGTCCTGGGCAGGACTCCAGATTACTTTTAGGTGCATGTAAAAATCCTCATATGAATGAATTGGACCCCCGATAGAGGGTGAGTCTCCCCACGGGGAACACTGGCAACAATAATAGTCTGATAAGGGTTCTAACCATCTTCAACTCTATCCAAAACCAACCATTGTGGGTTCGCAATTTATGGTGGAGTGTTAAAGGGTGTAGTCTATTCCCTTAAACACCCCCCAACCCCACAGAGTGCTGAAATGGCAAGTATTTACTATAGCACGCTGCAATCTTCACTGCATGGCCCAGCCCAGAACTGCACACCCTTTTCCACCTAAAACCTCCCTACTGGCCCCTCTTGGTGCAGAGCTGTGTCACTCCAGGGATTTAATACATGTTTTCTTCCAGGAAAGGTGATCGGGAAGAACGGCAGCGTCATCCAGGAAATTGTAGATAAGTCCGGTGTTGTTCGGGTGAGGGTGGAGGCCGAAGCAGACAGGACGGAGGAGTCCAAAGAGGTAAAAACCATTCAGGGCTCCATGTTCTGGCTAAATATCAGCTGAAGGCACTCCATGACTAGTCAGGCCAGGTACAAGCAACCCCCCCCCCCCCCGTCCCGTCCCTTACTTCCTCTATTGGCTGTCTATGGGCACATATCCTGTGATTGGCTGCTGATCTCTGACCCCACATTGCTGGATGTTCAAATTATTGCTGAGGGCAAACATTCTCACTCAGCATTCCTGCAGAGGTTCCTAGAGAAACGAGCTACACCTGATATACAACCACTGACACCAAAGATCATTATCATGATCTGTAATGGGAATAATCTTCCCACTGACCCCCAATGTAAGGGACATTCTTCCCACTGACCCCAATGTAAGGGACATTCTTCCCACTGACCCCCAATGTAAGGGACATTCTTCCCACTGACCCCCAATGTAAGGGACATTCTTCCCACTGACCCCCAATGTAAGGGACATTCTTCCTCCACTGACCCCCAATGTAAGGGACATTCTTCCCACTGACCCCCAATGTAAGGGACATTCTTCCCACTGACCCCCAATGTAAGGGACATTCTTCCCACTGACCCCCAATGTAAGGGACATTCTTCCCACTGACCCCCAATGTAAGGGACATTCTTCCCACTGACCATCAAGGTAAGGGACATTCTTCCCACTGACCATCAATGTAAGGGACATTCTTCCCACTGACCCCCAATGTAAGGGACATTCTTCCCACTGACCCCCAATGTAAGGGACATTCTTCCCACTGACCCCCAATGTAAGGGACATTCTTCCCACTGACCCCCCCAATGTAAGGGACATTCTTCCCACTGACCCCCCCAATGTAAAGGGACATTCTTCCCACTGACCCCCCCAATGTAAGGGACATTCTTCCCACTGACCCCCCCAATGTAAGGGACATTCTTCCCACTGACCCCCCCCAATGTAAGGGACATTCTTCCCACTGACCCCCCAATGTAAGGGACATTCTTCCCACTGACCCCCCAATGTAAGGGACATTCTTCCCACTGACCCCCCAATGTAAGGGACATTCTTCCCACTGACCCCCCCAATGTAAGGGACATTCTTCCCACTGACCCCCCCAATGTAAGGGACATTCTTCCCACTGACCCCCCCCAATGTAAGGGACATTCTTCCCACTGACCCCCCAATGTAAGGGACATTCTTCCCACTGACCCCCCAATGTAAGGGACATTCTTCCCACTGACCCCCCAATGTAAGGGACATTCTTCCCACTGACCCCCCCCCATGTAAGGGACATTCTTCCCACTGACCCCCCCAATGTAAGGGACATTCTTCCCACTGACCCCCCAATGTAAGGGACATTCTTCCCACTGACCCCCCAATGTAAGGGACATTCTTCCCACTGATTCCCAATGTAAGGGACATTCTTCCCACTGACCCCCAATGTAAGGAGCATCCTTCCCACTGACCCCCAATGTAAGGGACATTCTTCCCACTGACCCCCAATGTAAGGGACATTCTTCCCACTGACCCCCAATGTAAGGGGCGGTCTTCCCACTGACCCCCAATGTAAGGGACGGTCTTCCCACTGGCCCCCAATGTAAGTCTTCCCACTAAGTGGAGAATCCTCGTCTGGCTAGGACACATCAAGCACTCGGTATGTTCCAGCATTTTATTGTGTTTTGCTGTCATACAGTGTTACTTTATTAGGCAGCAGAAGGAAGACGCATTATTTGTACAGTAGAGCAGCGGCACTCCTAACAGACTGATGATGGAGCCCTCCACTGTCGGATTCCTGGTTCTGATGACCGCACTGTCGGCTCACCTCTCTCTCTCTCTCTCGTCTTGCAGGGTATGGTGCCGTTCATCTTTGTGGGGACTCAGGACAGCATCAGCACGGCGTTGGCCCTCCTGGAGTACCAGATTTCATATCTTCAGGTCTGTCTGTCTCTCTCCTTCTATAACGCATGGAATGTCCTGTTCTTGCCCTCTGGACACTGTGCATTTTGTTTGCAATCTTCTTTTACACCGGGCTGGACGCACACACATTAACCACCATATTGTATACCATGCAAACAACACCTTTGCATGGTATACAATATGGTGGTAATGTGTGCCATACACTGGAGAATTTAGACTGGTCACCCTGATTCATTGCAGGGATCTTAAGGTTTCCCCGGCAGATATAACACATGATGATGTTTTTAAGACTGTTTGTTTTTAATTTGTACCATGTATGGGTGATCATAAGACTCCCGCCCTACCATGTGACCATTCTGGGTGCCTTATGATTGGCCCAATGATGTCCTTTGGGAACAGGGAAAAGAAGTCCATAGCAATGTGTTATTACAGTCAGTTTGGAGCTTTCTTCCTTTCCCTGGTCCCTGCGACCAAACGCAGCAGCTCAGGAATGAGGAAAGGTGTGTACATGCTGCTGTAATGGAGGAGCTCCCCTGTTCCTGTGTCCCCAATGAAGGTTCTCCCCTCAGTCCATGTTCCTGTGTCCCCAAATGGAGGAGCTCCCTGCAACCCCTGTTCCTGTGTCCCCAATGGAGCAGCTCCCTGTAACCCCTGTTCCTGAGTGTTCCCCAATGAAGGAGCTCCCCTCAACCCTGTTCCTGTGTCCCCAATTTGAGGAACACTTTCCTCAAACCCCTGTTCCTGTGTCGCCCGCCATTGGAGGCGCTCCCCTCAACCCCCTGCTCCTGTGTCCCCAATGAAGGATCCAGCTCCCCTCAAACCCCTGTTCCTGTGTCCCCAGTTCGAGGAACTTTCCTCAAGCCCTGTTCCTGGTGTCGCCATTGGAGGAGCTCCTTTCAACCTCTGTTCCTGTATCCCCCAATGGAGGAAAACCCCTCAACCCCGTTCCTGTATCCCCATTGGAGGAGCTCCCCTCAACCCCTGTTCCTGTATCCCCATTGGAGGAGCTCCCCTCAACCCCTGTCCCTGTGTCCCCCCATTGGAGGAGGTCCCCACAAAAAAACCCCTGTTCATGTGTTTCCATTAAAGGTCTTCTCTTCCTCAACTCCTCTTTCTTCAGCACCATAACATTTTGCGATCTCTCATCACTTTCACTGTAGTCACCAGGGCCCCCCTCCATCCTTTCAATTTCAATGGATTCAGTTCTATTAGTCATGGAGGCTCAGCATCACATGTAGGCAATACCACAGGTGCTCTGCGAATGCAAAATACAGCCTGCCTAGGAAGGCCCGCTTCCTGCAGGGACTGCTTTCCATCCATTTTGATATGTGCATAACTTCTCCCACTGCTAGCATCAGGAACTTCCTCTGTGCACCTCCCTGAAACTGGTTTCACTTTTTACCAGCGACCCGACGGCATGGATAATGGTGCCGAAATGAAAATAAGATTTCAAATGTTTGTTCCGTCAAAGCGGCTTTATAACAGTACAGAGATTGGTTTGGTCAAAATCCAGGTAGTGGCAGTTGGCTGTGGGCTTATCCTGGACAGTTTTGAGAAGTCCAGCCCTAGTGATAGAGTGAAACCGGTTTCAGAGATATTTGAAGCAGAAAAAAAAAATAAAGGCGTTTTTGGGGTGTTGCGTTCTCAGGTAGACGGGGCTCCCTTTTAAGTGTAACCAGTACAGTGTACAACCACCAAGGCTTGCGGGCAGCCTATGCACTGTCCAGGATGTGTCTTTGTCAGACCTTCAACATTGCCATTAGAAGAGAAGAAGAAGAGCTCTGCACGACTGCTAAGCCAAGAAAACTTACATTCCGCTGCTGCTAGTTTGCCCGAAAACAGGACTTGGGATGGTGGCTGGAATCCACTGCTCATACTAACCAAACAGGACATGTTTTCAGAATTTCTTCATCTGTGCAGAGGTGATGATGGGAAATTCCTAAAAACTCCTTAAACTAGCACCTGTTATCCACCTTGAGAGCTGGGGCTCGGGACGAAAGTGCTGTTATAGAGAAGTTCCTCTCCAGGTTGGAGCCTGTGTTGGCCTGGGGACTTGTAGATGGTCTTCAGGGCTAACAAGTTCCTTTTCATGACCCCCTCATCTACTAGAGTGAATGATGGTTCGTTTTTTCCCCCCAACTTTTGGTTGACTTGACAGCAGGGGCTCCTTATATCTGGGATCA